CTCTGTGTTGTTATGAGAAGGGACTCTGCCTCCTCCAGTTTCACTACAGGGAGGAGTCTGAGGCTCGAGGAGGCTGCCTGGCTTCTTCAAGGCAGCCACACAGATAGACATACCGATGCTCAGTAAATCTGGAAGTGAGGCCACTGAGATGTCCCCAAGCTGTAATTTCCACGTGACATTCACTCCTAGACGCTCTGCAGTCAGACACCCCACCTGAACCGAGGAGTTGTCACAGACAGTACTGGAAACCAGGGTTTCAAATGTCTTCACCTGCATGGAGAGGGACACCTTGGTTTAGGGACTTAGAAGCTGCTGATGGCAAGCATGTGTCAGAAGTCTGAAGGAGCTTATGCTACTTCCTGTTGTCTTCCACCACCCTGCTCCCTGGGGATTTGGGTACCGCAAAACGTCCTCCTGAGAGTGATGCTCAATTCAGCCCAAGCCCTCACTGTGGGGAAGGCTGCCACATACCCAGATCTGGCAGAAGCCACGGGTCGCCAGCTCGTCCAGTATGAAGACCTGGAAGGCCAGCAGCAAGCCGGAGTAGTCGGTGCTGCACATTTTGCCTGGTGGGAGCAGGAGCTGGAAGTGTGCTTGAGTTTTCATCATCTGCCATGGCTGAGGCCCTGCAGCCAAGCACAAGAAAGAGGCCAGTGGGCTGAGGGGACAGGCCTGCAGGCTTCACTCCTGTGGCTTTCACAGCCTCTCCTCATTCAGCATATGCACACAAGCATTGCCTTTTTGCACGGATGTCCTGAGATGCCCCACACTTTCCGACACACTGGTGTAGCTCTGAATCCGTTAGACTCCGCACCTGGGAGCTTCATAGTGATTCTGACATTCTCTCTGGAATAAATCTCCCATACTGCTCTGCAAACGAACACCACCATCCCTCATGATCCTGTAGGCTAGGGGTAGATGTTCCCTAACGCTATTCAATGTCCAATGACGACTGATTTGGTCTTGGTTTCAACTGGGTCCACCTTGTCATAATAATCAAGGAGACTTGATGGGGGAAGTGCTTCTGTGTG